TCGGATGACAAACAAAGTCGAGTAATTCACGAGAAAATCAATGGATATTATAAACATGAACGACGTTGATCTAAATGTATCCTGGAAAACTACCCGGAGCCTAGACTACCCAGTTACATTTTCTTAAGACTATTCTATATATCATTTTGAAGCCAGTGAAATTCACTCGCAAATAATGTGTAAAGTAGAGTGGTTAAAGTGAAAATTAGTCACGATTATAAACATGAACGATATTGGCCTACCGGTTTCCTGGGATGCTACCGAGTATTTCGGATCTTAGATACCCAGTTACATTATCTGAAGGCTATCTCATATATCATTTTGTAGTTCGTGAAATTCTCTATCGAACGGTGTATAACAGTTCATATTTGCTCTGCGTGAAACAGGTTGAATAATGTAAATACTTTGAGAAAATGTCGCTTAACGCGAGAAGAGTTTTTTTGCTAAAAGGTTTCCAGGGGCACTGAAGGATTTTTAAGATTTAAAAATAGGTTAGCGTCAGTCGTGGACAAAAGCTGCATCATATGAGTGAACATAAGACTGATTTGAGCGTGGGCCGATTGTGCCTCTTATTGTCCCACGTCCTTTCGGTTAATTTTGAATTATAAGCTTTATCAATTTGTTCGATCAGTGATTTTTTCCATAGATCTAACTTTTTAACGGCATAATCACGATTATCTTCCATCGATATTTTTTGTAATAAAACATTAGCTTCATTAATATCGTTACTTAAACACTGAAATTCCTCTTTTAATAATGTTTGGTGAAAATTAATATGTTTTAAACATTAAATTAAATGACAATTTGAACAACACATATAACTTTTGGTTGGACACTCAGCAGTACCATCTTTTTCAGTATAAGCACACTTTTCTAGTCGATTCTGTAAAGTAGATAAACAACCAGTGGCCGTCTCAAAATCTACGTAAGATTTCAAGAATAATAAATAATACAGTCAATGGATAGCCTTACTACAGAACAATGCAAGACAAACAACAATAGAGGAAACAGATTAAGAGTAAGATCTTTGAATATTCTTGTAAAAGTACAGACAACTGAAGAACATTCCTTACTTTTCAGTACTTGCGAAATGTTTCTTAATACCTGTTCCTCAGTAAAGGGGTACGCTTTTATGTACATCCGACATCGATGAAAATTTGACCAGTTGTGAATCGTGTCAAATGATACTGTTTAAAAAAGCTCATCTATCTGACTGGAAGTCGTGTTCAGAGTAGCAGACATGCGTTATGTGCTGAGTATTATATCTAAAAACAGCCATGAGAATATGATTAAAAAAATTAGCATAAAGGGTTGTATATGGAGAGTATGTATACGCTCAGACTGACACGCTATCTGATTTTAATTTTAAATTTTTGACTGTTAAAAAAACGATGCTGACAAACATCATTTTATTTGTCATATCGCAAACATTTAACAAAAGCCATTTTTAGTCATAGTCATTCAGTTGAAATAAATGTACTGTCGTAAAACAAATATTGTCTCGTTTACTTCTTTTCTCTTTTTCTTTATATGTAGAGGTGATGGTGAAGGCTCACATAGAGAAAAGTGTCATGTGTTCCACACCGATCTGTGTAGTAGATTGCGAAGTGAATGCAGGTTTTTCCAGTTCATCTTGCCAAAATCGTCTACATTCTTATCTGATCATTTTTCCAACTTAGTAGAAATCACAGTCTTGACATTTTATAACATATACAACTCAGACACATAACCAGTAACTTCAAATGCGATAAGGTCAGAGCGCAAGTAAGGGAAAATGACTAATGGCCATTGTAGAGCATAGTCGATTACATATGAGATCATATTTTTAACAATATTTTAAAATAATAAATGGGCTTTGAAACTAATTCAGGATGTATCACTACAGTAGTCTACCTTATTTTTTCGATTCAAAATATCATCTAATTAATTGCACTAATATCCTCAATCAGCTGAAATATAAAATTTGTTGTTATTCCTATTCAATCCATATCAGTTGCCCTATCGAACAGCACGTTGAATAAATTTTCTTATATCTCCTCTCTGCGGGATATTACAGCCAAACTCGTCTCATTCAAAATGACATGGTGTAATATTTTTGTAAACTCATTGAAAACCACAGATTAGACCATTTACAACAACGCTTTCTTATACCGGACTGTCCTCTACAAAATTCGTATTAAAAATAATTTTCTAACTTATTTAGATTTGTAGAAAAATGCGGATGTTTCGGTACAACTAGGAATTTTTTTTCATTTTGCGTCATGGTATAATGCCCTCAGTTTTACGTATTACTCCCAAACGACTAATCCAACTCTCTTGCAAACTTTCAGCGATGAACAAGGAGATTACAATATACGTTTTGATGCAAAAACGAAGTCTCTAGCTGATCTAGTCATGGAGAAAAGCACAAAACAGATGCGAAATTTGTCATGGTGTAACGGTTGCCCAAGCCATATACTATACTAGATCGACTTATCGATGTTTATTATGTTTCTCAAAACAGCAGATATCAGTTCTGCGACTGTCATGAGTGTCATTTAAACCTTACTTCTTACTATAATAGTTCTATTTATACACATTGATTATTCTTCATAAAATGAATGATCTTAGTAAAATACCAACAATCACTTTCAATGACGTGGAGAAATTGTGAACAGTAAGCATCACATAATTCATATTTACATTCACACGAGTCAGTAACATCCATAATTGGTTTGTACTTCTTTGGAAAAATAATCTTAACAGTTAAGGGCATATCTGCTTTTGATATAAATACAAAACCCACAACATTAGTTTTATTCAGATTGTTTTCAACTTTAATTCAAGGAAAATAAAGCCCTTTTCAGCATGCAACTTAAAACTTTTCTCATATACCATATTTGTCTTTGTACCATGATTGTGATATTTCTTTCTTCTATTATCTCTCTTACTAAAACCCGCGAAACTACGAAGTTTTAAGAATTTCTAGAAACTGCGATAAGATCAAGCATGGAGAATACTGTAATGGCGATGAGCCGTTACAGACGGGTCCAAAATGACCAAAAAGGTGATGGCGCCATTATTGAATGACCCCATAGTAGGCTGTCTCAATCACCATCATAAATACTAAACTCAATGAAGAATCAGCTCGATTCTATCATTTTCTCTATTCACCATCGAATGATGATCGTGTTCCAGTGGCAGATCCACCTGATGGCGAATTGGCGTTCCAAAAACAACAACAACAAACAGCTGACCCTTCCAAAAATATACACACACACAAGAGGGAATGAGTCTGGAGAAAAAATTGAGAAAAGTTCGTCAAAATTGACAAAAACGAACACAGAATAGATAGATGTCTGCATCTGCTGCCTGTGTCACTCTCCCTTGTATTACCAAGCTACTCTAAGAAAACCATTAGGCGTCATTGACTGCATGTAACACAAAGTCTCTGAATCACCTCTTTCACAACAACAAACTCTGCAAAAAGAAATAAACGTATTCTACCGATAACTTTATTAATCTATCCTTAAGAGTTGATTATTCTACAGCATGGTGCTTTGAATCTATTCATTGAAAGTCACCCTCATCCTGATCCTAACCCTCTGCTCAGTGAGGTACAACGTTTCTCTGTATTTCATATTAGGCGACGGTGAAACTTTTTATAAACATCGAAAACGTCAAACTCTTGAAGGTGCAGACGAGTCCAGTATTCATCGATGGATTCAAACGGATCACGACTAGGCGAATTCGAGAAGATGTATGCACATTTTGAACAAAAACAACTTCAGAAATGACAGAAATGGAGAGCTAAATACAGCTTCCATAATTATCAGACATTCGTCCTTCTTCTGATTCTGTATTTGAAAATACCAATTGCTTTCAAAGCTTCTGTAGTCTTCCGCATTCTTTGAGAACATATCTAACCCTTCACTTCTTAGTTTCAGTTATTAACTCTTATACTTTATCAATTGAAGCGTGATATCCTTCCTATTGGATTCATAATACATTAACTAACGCTGATCGTATCCATTATCAACCATCAAATTCACAGTTCACTTGGTTCAATATACTTGAGTGACTGGATAAAGAGTTTTCCATACGAATCCTACGAACCGATAAAATATTCCCTACAATCAAAAAAATATAAAAAAGCGCTCGTAATTACCCACAAGTTTCATAAGGGAGGATCATTGATTGACCTTGACACAACCAACAGAAGGAATTGCGATAGATCTTCTATACTAGTATTTACCACTTGATAATCTTTATTTGAAATTGTGAGAAATAAATTTTTGTTTTGTGGTAACTTGTCTCACCCTCACCCTCAAGTCTCCCCTAGCTATAACTTCAGTTTCTATCTTATTCTTCATAATTCTATGAGCATTTCAGCACCTTTGAGCAAAATTTGGTGCGGTGGTGCAGCACTTACGCCCTTGCAACTATTGCAATGAATATTATCTACCTGTATGAATGAGTCATCTTTGCGACTGCCACTGCAGGCAAATTGTATGTTGGTCATACAGAGATAACAATAATTTCTGCATTACAATCGTCAAAGTTTGTTTCTACTAAAAAGAAATTCTTGTACGAATGATTACATTGAATTTTATTTTCTGTATTATTCAATTGATCTCAATCATCAATTGGACGAAATCCGAAAATGTTTGTTTGGCCAATTCAGTTTTGACTTGTTATTGTCAAGACGACATGCCATTTGTTTCTTGCATTGGAAAAAATCAAACAAATGACAGTTTCGTAGATTGGGCACCATTCGTTTCGGCAAATCATCGTCAACATTCATTCACATTTTTTAATTTGACCCGCTTAACATATTTAACTTTTACAAATTTTTCATCGACGTTTCATTTGCATGGTGAGTCGATTGATTTGACATTTATTAATGGCATGGACGAAATAGGAGAGAATGCTTTTCAACCGCTCAATGAATATTCCGATTCATCGATCGAGTTGACATTTACTTCACCACAACATTTCAAACTTGCTGATTATGCGTTTGGTCAAGGAGCATACTACGAAATAGATATCGATAATATACAGTACAGTCATATACACAATCTTCCATATCAATTGAATTTGAAGTCGATGGATGGTGCTCGATTCTATCAGATGAACATACGAAATTGTGGTGATATAGAATTTATTTCTAATGGATCGTCTACAATCGAACTTATCGGGATAACAGTGAACAATTGTTCGTTGGCAAATGCTAGCCTTCTTATCGAAAGTCTTTCGACAGGTCTCGCTGGTTTGGATCTAACATCGAATCACTTGACTGCAATACCCTCATTGGAATATTTTCAACAGCTTAGAGCAGTTGATTTGAAGAATAATTTTATTGAAGAAATTACCGTAAATATATTCAACAATATGGCTAGCTTATGGCGATTGGACTTGTCTAATAATCGAATAAGAAACATCGAATCCGACTCATTTGTTGGATTGCGCTTGACTGAATTAAATTTAGATAATAATCGTCTAACATCACTTCAAACTTTAACAATTGACAATCAAACAACATCGTTTTTATATCCATTAAATGAATCGCTAGCTTTACTCGTTATCTCAAATAATTTTCTACATGATTTGAATCCATTGAAACATATGACTAATTTAAACAATGTGATAGTATGCTGCAATCAAATAAAGACATTGGATGGAAATATATTTGAAAAAGCACATCAACTTAAATCAGTGGATTTAAGTTATAATCAAATCGAGTTTATCGATTCAATGACATTCAATGGAACGATAATCAACTATTTAAATTTGGCTGGAAATCGATTTTCATCGCTTGAAACAAATGAATCATTGTCATCCAACACATCACTGTTCAAGAATCAAACAAGCTCGTTTCTCTATCCTATCTCATCAACAATTTCAAGTCTATCATTTTCGAATTGTACAAATTTGATCGAAATCAATTGGTTTATCATTATAAAGCTCCAAACATTATTTTATTTGGACCTTTCTGAAGTCAATATGACGGAAAAAAGTTGGCTTTATCGAAAAACTGATGTTAATAGTGAAGATTCGTCTATCAATTGGAACTATCCACCAGGACCTCGTATAATTCTATACGGTATCAGATTAACTGACAATGACTATTGTTTAACCAAATTAATTATTGATATTTTGAATAAGACAACTTTAATCGTTGACATTGATCATCCATGTAATTGTTTCATATATTCCTTTGACACAGAACATCGCCCCATTTGCCTATACAATCATTCAGTCGTAGATGAATTAAGTAGACGATGTACAAGTATAGATATATTTTGCGAATTATTTTCAAATAATACAACTACTTTGCCGTTCACCGAATGTACATCGTTATCTTCTCTTAGCACCACGGCGCAAACCACTAGCGTCCAGACAATAACGACGCTAACCTCTTCAAGTACTCTTATATCGACTGAACAAAGTATTATCACAGGCACTCATGTTTCGTCGGAAAGATCAAATGGAAATCAACAAAGGAAAATAATCTTGGCGACAATAATTCCTTCGACATTCGTTATTGTTCTGTGTTTAATCGGCATTTACTTTTATAGAAGAAACATCAACAACTTCACTCAGGATATTGAAATGCGTAACAAAATTCTGCACTTCAACGACAAAGAATGAGATTTTTGATTTTCGTACAAAGTTGAGTGTCAACATTTCAATAAATCGATCGATTTGTCGCCAATTGTTTATGTTCTTGGTCAACTCATGGGTCGCTTGTGAAATTCCGATTCTGTCAAAATAATTCTTCCTAAGCATCGTCTCGCGCCAGACGATTATCTACGTATTTCTGTATCTCGTTCGCCAATGTTCTGTTGGAAACCATACGATTCGCTTTTCTGTCATGTCGGATCAGATCTCGGAAAGCACCAACTTGGTGTACAAAGGAGCAAACTATAGTCTTGCTCATATGTCGAAATAAGACACAAGCTTTTGCCGGTGAACGCTGTTTGTCTTTTGTTAAATCTTTTTCTTTTTTTGACTGTAGTTTTCTGTCTTATAAAACACTTTTCTAGCTACTCTTAGTTTTCTTCTCTTTTACTCGCCAATTTCAATCTTCTGGAACGGACACCCAGAAGCAGAAGTAAATGAAGATTCTCATTACCACAAAAACAAATTTTTTACCTTTGCTTTCAGAAAAGCAAAGGTAACTACTTTTAACGTCCCAATGATGTATAGATAATTTGAATTGCGTCAAGTACGGGGCACAAAATTTAGGAATAGGCGTCTTCTGCACAAGTTCCAGAAATCTTAACTTTGAGCAAGTGCTGAACCTACAAAAATGACTTTGAAGCAAGGATAAAAGTTAGGTATAATTTCCAAGACTGCTTTGCTTGATTCTGTGTGAATAAATCATTAGTTCGATTTCCGTAAGAAACCGTTACTCATCCGTTGAGCGCACAACGAGAAAGTAGCTATATATTATAACAACAGGCCCATGAGATACAATCGTGCAATAAACTAATAGATTATTAGCTCATCTTTAATAGTTCGAATATAGTCTATACATAACAGGGGATCGGTATAAAACTGAATACAACTGTTTAATTGTTTAAAATTTGTTTGTGCGTCTTGAGAATCTTTCGTTTATTTATTTATTTATTCTCGATGGCAGAGAGAAGGGACATAGACAAAAGGTGGAGGCTTATAAACGCCTACCCCATGACATTTCAATTCATCAATAATTTAATCTAACCATATAAGGTGTTAGCAGTTCAAAAATTGAGCACATTTTTATTTTTCGTTTTGATATAAGCTTTATTCTGTCAGAATACAATCTTTAAATAAAACTCAAAATTCATTTTGGAAATTTTAAAATCCAAACTGACTGGAGAACCGTGGAAGATGAGCAGGCCGCTGACTAATTTTGCAAACGCATCTCGTCGTAGCATTGGGAAGATATAATTCTGTCATACTTTATTGAAACGGCTATACTTACGAGAAAAAAAGTATGCATCGGTTTTGAAAAATATTTATTTACTAATTACTGCAATGAATAATAGTGGAGTAACTTCATTTACTAATGCTAAAATTTTTAATGGACTCACTTTAATGGATGGACTTATTAATAATGAAATTCAACAAGGTTTTCCAGGTGCTGCTTTGATCATAATTCAATATGGCAAAATTCTAAAACAAACTGTTTATGGTTACAAATTAAAATATAATGAAAATGAAACATTGATAGAACAACCAGAATTATTAATATTATATACAATGTTTGATGTCGCTTCATTAACTAAAATCTATGCAACTAATTATACTTTTATGCATCTGGTTGAGCAAGGAAAACTGAATGTCGATGATCAAGTTATAAAATATATACCAGAATATTCTGGATGTAACCTTGACAATGAATGTCGTGAAACTCGATTAATAAAAGATTTATTGACACATACAGCCGGATATGCTCCAAGTGTTGAATTTTACAATCTGAAAATAGTTACACCAGATTTTTATTCACAAGAAAGAATAGAACTGAACAGATTATTGAAACAAAATTACATTTTCAACGATCAAGGGGTGATGATCCATTGCCTATTTATTCTAATATCGATTATATGCTGTTAGATCTGATTGTAGAGAGTATAAGCGGAATATCAATTGATCAATATATAAAGATTAATATGTATCAGTCACTCAGTTTAACACATACATTGTTTAATCCCCTTGTTAATACAACTTATCAAAAAATGGATTTTGCTGCAACTGAATTAAATGGAAATACACGCAATGGTGCAATCATGTTTCCCAACGTACGTATACATGTCTTACAAGGTCAAGTTCATGATGAAAAATCATTTTATTTAATGAATGGTATATCGGGACATGCAGGTCTGTTTTCAAATTTACATGACATGACTATTCTATGTCAGATTATGTTAAATAATGGTACATATGGTATTTACTCAGTTCCGAAATAAAAATGTGCAAGACCAATTTCTACTACCGCATATTTTTGATCTATCGTATGGATTAGGATGGCGTTTAAATTTTAATCATACTCTACCATGATTCGGTCTGCATGCATCCGATAAAGCCTACGGTCATACAGAATGGACTGGGACGTGCTTTGTTATTGATCCAAAGTATTCAATGGCAATCATTTTATTAGCCAATAAGAGACATACACCATATATTAATGGAACATTTGATGGTGACAAATACGAAACAGGAAAATATGGGAAAATTATGACATTGGTCTGTGAGTCAATGCTACTGCACAAACATCAAATTTAACGTTTCACACACTGTGCAAATATCTTCTGTAGTCGACAATTAGATCTACAAAAATTTTATCGGAGATCTGTAGGTCATTTATGTGCAACGGATAAGAATCTTATCAAAAACTTATTCAGGCTTATACAAGATTACTCAGGAAAGTAGATGGACTTTCATAGATTCTTATCAGAACATCATACGAATAACAAAGGAATTTGATAAGATTCATATAAGGTTTACTGAAATACCTTATGCACTTCTTATTAGATTCCTATCAATCTCTTAATCAGTCAAACAAAAGTGTGAGGCATTTCTGCGTTTACGGATAATACTGCATCAGGCTGTGTTGCTGTAATATACACTTTTTGAAATCGATAACTGTTTTAATAAGTGCTGCTCATTTCTTGACTACTGCTGGCTAGACTCCTGGGGGCAGCCCCGAATCCCGTCCCGTCTGTCCCC